ATATTACAACATAGACAGCAAATAATTTCAAGCAGAAGATACTTTAAGAGTTTGCTTGTATTCACAACCAGGGAACATTTGGGCTCCAACTTTTAGACTCTGCTCATGCAGACAAGTAGCCTTTTTAAAAAAAGAACCTTAAATAACTCCTGAGGGAAATGTATCTTCCTCACACACAGAAGATAAACCTCTCACTTAGGTGCCTGAAGCAAGGTTCACTACACCTTGGCAAACTGGCTAGGAGTTTTAAGTTCACAAGATTTGCAGAGAAAAAGGAGGCGACAGGCTGCTGTTTTCTAGTAAATGGAACTCAGAGAAAACTATTATCTACTAATTCACTTTGTGGATGTCCATTAAATTACACAAGTACTTCGTTTAAATCAGTTTTAACCAGCTACATCAAAGGCACTTCTTTCACTCTAAGAGAATTAATAAAACTTGTTATCCCAAAGGCAAACAATGGTAACATGGGAGTGGCAAAGAACAAAAAGAAAAGTGGGGGAAAAATAATCTGTTCTACAGCTATTATTCTTCAAAGAATCGCATTTCCAAGTCAACTAATAGACATTCTGAAAACTTATTGAGAGTCACCTTCTTCACTTCCACCAGTGGTCTCATACTATATTTGATAAATATATTTAATAAAATAGTACACTGTAATTTTTTTACTATGCTAATTCTAGGCAATGTTTCTCCTCACAATTCTCTCCTCAGAACGCTAGGGCTGAAAGTAAACAGAAACTGAACATTACTCAAAGTTTTTCATAAAATATAAACTGACAGATTACTCTGTATAGTACCTTTATTGTTACTAGCTATTCCTATATCCTTAAGTTGCCACAGTATATTCACATACAGCACTGCACCTGATGTGCATTTCCACACGCTCATGAACTTTCAAACTGGGCTCCACACTGGCTTTTAGACAACACAGCCTATGGAGAAAAGCAGCCTTTTAGTTGCTTTAAACTGCTTGAGGGGAAAAGTCTACCTTTACTACATGTACACTCCATTCCCTCTCAAGTTTCCTCAGCATCTCTTCCCAGATAATCTCAAGTTTTCTCTAGAGTGCCCCACATTACGTATACCTCTGATTAGCCTCAAATATTTCAGTTAACCTAAAGAGCACGTGTAACCCCTGGCCTGAAAACTGCTTCTTTAAGAAACATATTAAGTGGTATGTATGCCAAACCTAATATAACTTCAAAGGCTCCCTGACACTGTAGAACCTCCACAGAAAGATGTAGCAATCCACAGTGAGATGACTTTGGCTCTTTAGTGTCCTAGAATAAGGCTACTAAAAAATATTTTAATTTCCTCTACCTTTCAAAATTACTGTAAATTCCAATAAAACAAGTTAAAATAAACCTAACCCAGAATATTAAAAAAATCAAGTTCATACTTAGCATTCTCTCAACAAGATAGCAAAACGTAAATTGGTGATTTTTTTTTTTCTTTTCAGTCACTACAAATGATCATTCTTTTGCATTATAGCATCATGCATACATTACCATGCAATCCATTCACAAGAAGCCTCTAAAGTGCCTGTTTCACAGCACATGAAGGCTCGACTTCTTTCAGCTAGGTGCGGAAAAACTCTTCAGTACTTTCCCAAACACTGATTGAAATTTATTTCACAACAATAAAAACGGAAAGATATTACATTTTCCCTACTGTAGAAATAACTTCCAAAGTTAAGATTTCTTATTATAAATAAAATTGGTAAATTACATCTTAGATGTTTACATTAAATATAAATGGCTTATACTTCATAACACAAAGAGTAAATGTTCAGTATTTCTTTATAAAATTTAAGATACACCGGCCTTGTACATATGGCTTCATTAACATCTTACACAGTTTGTTCTCAGTCATATCCATCAACACAAACAGTGCCTCTACATAAAAGATGCATCCTAACGATTTCAATGAAGTGCAGTATACTCCGTTAGAGAGAACATGTTTTAATTAACAGTTCTAATACCAGTTACAGTGTACAGTACTTTTACCAATCTACTGTGTTGTAATTATACAAGACAGGAGGAAGAGACCAAATCCCACAGCCCTCATCACAGTACAGACCCCAGCGCAGGTTTACCTCAAGAATGGCTGGAAGATTTGGCTTATGATACATAATCCAACATGTTTATTAAAAAGTGGGCAACATATTCCCCCAAGAAGTCAAGACTTCTGACTGCACAAAACTGCAGCCAAATTTCAGTATCAGTTTGAAATGAAAAACACATTAGGGAGTCAGATACCCACTGAAACAAACTGATCTGCCAGCGAGGTATTTTCGTAACAATGCTTTTGCAGGTTTGACAGACACCATCCCCTTTTGGGGAAAGTCCAACATTACAAAAAATAAACTTAACTATTGGACAGCTTCAAACTGTAGTTTATGAGGATAGGACAGTCACATTTAGAACATTGACAGTCCAACTTCTCCATTTTAACAGAATATTATGAAAACTCCCACACCAGACTGAGCTATCATTCAGCCTAAAAATACATGCAATTATGACAACAATCCCAGCATCAAATCACCTCAGGTCGTGAAGTTCAGCTGCAAGATCATACACACAGCTTTCCCACTAGCTAGGAAGTTACAAAAGAGAGGAGCTCAAGATACACACTGTAATATGGGAGGAGACAGGATAGGCTTCGAATACATCCTTGAAGTTTCCTCTAGCTTCTGGGCTCCTTAACAACCCCCAACTACAACATACACATATACTCCTGCGAAAAAAAACACTTGAGAGGAATTCTTCATAGAATACAGAATTCAGAATAGACAACATTTACTTACATTTACTTTGGTAACACAGCTCTTTGTAGATAAAGCAAGCAGCAAAACAACAGTATGAAAAAAATCTTGTTACGATAGCTGAATATTTGAACAAAGTTAGCACATAAAGCATTTCTAGAAAAACATCTGAAAGTGTCATGGAGACAACAGTCGAAGCTGACTTGGATCAAAATGTGTAAGTACTAGAAACTGATCACAAGCTGTGAACACAGTTCACCGAACTGAAGACAGTGTTACGAAGCTAACACAGAATAAAGCTAGGACTGATCTCATTTTAAAATCTTAGAAATATATTTTTAAACTCATTCTAACAGAAGAAAGAATATGTGAAATGAGCACACAGTCAATCAGAATTTGTACAAGACAGCTAAACAGCATTATCAAACGATTTACAAACAGAACAAGAAAATAATAAAGGAAAAATTAGAAGCTTACGCAGAACTTTAGAAACATGCCAATGTTCAGGGAATTATTTAGACAACAGAGGAATGAGGATAAATCTAAAAACTAGGAGAAATAACATAGTTTGCTTACTAAGTTTGCAACTGAGCAGGACTGCAAAATTAGCTAATTCAATTTGTGAATGACTCCAAGCTAGGACATACTGCTTTCTCAACAGAATTTTGGCACAACTACAATAACAATATTATGGCTTCTTCTGTGAACTAAATTAACTGAAAGACAAATTGGCAGATCTACAGAACAGAGTGACTGAGGGACGACTCAAAAGTTAATAGACATGCCCTCTCAACAACACAGATGGAGTATCTAAAAGTGTTTCGACACAATTTAGAAAAAAACTCTTTTTCGATTTTACATATTAAGAAATGTTTAATAATCCAGAGAAACTGGATTAGAAAGAAAAACAGCTTGCTAAAAATGAAGTGCAATACATACGAGAAAAAAAAAACACTGAAAACTGAGAATTCACACCAGGTGAACAAGTCAGATTCCTGGCAGCAGCTGTGTTAAAGAAGGGATATAAAGGCATAATGCCCCATTTATGCCTATGTACTGGCAGATACCTCGGGTGTAAATCCATATACACCATAAGAAGATCACTTGATTACTCTGGGAGAGGAGAGAGTACCTTAAACGCAGGTATGAAGCACAGTGCTGACACAACAGTTGCATCTAAAACAGGAATATTCTTTGCTTACAGACAAACACATTATAGTATAGAATATTGTTATGCAGCATATTATGTAGTAAAAATGGTAGTGTATTTTTTAAACATTCCTAGCGCGGTCACAGCCTCCGAACTCTACAGAAGAACAGCTGTTTCCAGAAGTAAATTATGGCTCTTAACTGCAAAATGCTCTTGAGTGTGCACCAATTTCTGTAACCCAGTGCGTTCTAGAATTTTAAGCTTCTGAAAGAAGAGAAATTCTATATTTTGTAGGTTTTTTTTTTCCCCCACAGTAGGTCTTCATATTCCTAGGTTATACTGATCTAGGGAAACGTAGAACAATATATTTGAAAATAAAATTCTTTGTTCTTTTTCAGAAAAAAATCAAGTCTCATTATGCAATAAAAGAAAGTATTAGATGGTATCAATTTAAAGTTTAAGTAAGTTATATTCTAATTGCACTTATATTCCTATTAAAAAAAAACCCTCAAATTAGTTAATATCTGTGTTACAGATGAGACTTCAACAATACACAAAACTACACGGCTGCATTATTTTCAGTTAGTTACTATAAAGCGGACAGAAAAATCAAAACTATATTGCTCAAATGAAAACTACAAGACTAAAGCACAAGATGAATATTCAGTATGAAAACAGGAATTTTAAAACAAAACTCAAATTACTCCTATGCGCTTCTTCAGAATTCTGTTCCAAGTCAGCATTTGACATGAGCTTCCAGTAATCAAAAAACAAAAGACGATAAGCGACAAATGACAGTCTAACAAGGAATGAGTCCCTTTAGAATTTCCACAATACCTACCTAAAGGAAAACAGGTAACAATTGAGGTGATGTAAATATAAGAAACACCTTCGCTGACTTCTAGCCATCATAGGACAGCTCTCCTTACCTGGAGTAACAATTAATGTTTAACATTTAAAGCTTTGTCCTTGATAGCATTTATTCTCCCATCATATGCCCACCATGTTACATGTTGTGTACTTTATGCATCCATTACACAATGGAAATGTTTTAACATGTTTTCAATGAGTATTAAGAATAAATCATGTCTCAAGTATAACTAAACTGGACACATTTATGCTGCCCACTTAAATTGAGTTTTTAATTACTTGTACAAATAGTTTAAAATTCTGCAATCAAAAAAAAAAAATCAGATGCCTTAAACCAGTATGTTTAGGTTACATTCTGTCATTGTTACCTAGCTGCCTCATTCATACAGTCGCACCAGTGGATGATTAATACCAAAAAGAGTATAATTTCTTGTATATGGGTATTATTTAATCCTTACCCTAAGTATAAATTTGCAACACAGTAGTAACACTGCAGGTATAGAAGTAATGCTTCCTATCTGGCATATGAAAAGATTTACACTCTACCATAGTTGATGCTGGTGTATTTATAGAGAAGGCTTCTCACATATCGTTTCAGTCCACGGGAGGTAGATGTTTGTCTATGAACTGTTTTACATCCATCATCTCCTGTTTAAAGACAAAAGAATGTATTAGTTGAAGTTGCCCACTAACATATATTAAGCTACGCTAAATCATGTCCCAACATTTCAGTTATAATGAGCAGCTGGGCTACAAATATTGAGTAGTTACTCGATAAAATCATACCCCTTTGCAAACAACAAGTCAAGGCCGGTAACTGTTTAAGGCACTGTGCACTCATTAGAGGCTAGAATACAAGAAAGAGCAAAGACTGCTTTCTTTCTCTCTCTCTCTGAAGTTGAGCAGGCAAGCTACACATAATCATCAAGTGATCTGAACAGCAGCAGGCTGAGCGTGGACAGGATTTGAATGGAGCTAAGGCTGTAGCTTTGTGTATACTTTTGCAAGTTAGCAGTAGTGTGAAAAGCCAGCAGCTCCTCCTCCGAACCATTCAGTTTCACCTTCGTGATGCTTCCTTCCTTAAAAAAAAGCAATACAGTGAACTAGACTGGCAAATCAATCCATGTCAAAAACAATTTAATTTTAAATTTTTTGTTCCCACAAGATGTAGCAATCCAAAATAACAATGTTACTGCTGCTGAAAACCAGCAGATCTGTTCCTTCCCTCTCCTGTTTCTTTCTCCTAATGTTTACTTTTCGCGAGTTCTGATGCCTCAACTCACTACAGCTACGAAAACCGAAGCCAGCAGCTTTTGCCATTTTAGCAAGTTCAAATAGTTCAAAGAAGTTTCTCATCAGCTCCAGAGCTGGTGCAAGAAGGACGAGAGGGCCACAAGGTCATGAGCAGAGGGAACTAGTCCACCCCTTTCTGGCAGCAGCAAGGCATTACATCAGCTCAGCTGCCTGCTGAGCCACAACCATAAATATAGGTTCAGAGAGGCTCCCTCTTCCATACCATCAACTCTCCCCCCCTATTCCTTCGATGTCTCCATCCACAGAACTAACAGAATTATTCTCTCAAAAATATCACGTTGGATTTGTGCTGTGAGAATTTGCCTTCCAATTTAGTGATTTTTTTCAAGTTAGCAACTAATAAAACTTAGCGGAAAAAAAAAGTATTATAAACTAACCAGCCTGCTCCCAAAAATACAATCTTCTGTGGAAGTTTCAACTAGTCATATAAACTTTTGACTTGGAAGCTGTTTCAGCCAGGCATTCAGTTACTCCCTAAAATAAGTCAGCAGCATCAAGCACCTGTGATTAAAAAAAACAAACAAACAAAAACCCCAAACAACTCCTCCCAAAAAAACACCTAACACATATTTGTTTTGAAGGAAAAAAAAAAAACATACCTAGCAAAAAACATTGTATATTAAGAAAATTACCTCAATACATGAGCTATGCATCATGCCAGAGTACGTCCTGAAGGTTATGTTGGCTGGATTTATCATACTCTTTAGCCTCTCAACAGTAAGGGAACCGAACATTAAGGGAACCAGTGGGTCACAGTCCCCATGGCACTGAAGAACAGCAATCTCCTTGTTGGCACCACTGATAGGGCCCTGGTAGGGGTGGAATTAGAGAAGAAAGAAACAGTAAGTGGAGGTAAGGCTAACATCTTCGAGACACAATAACTCCATAGCACTATGCCCTGTGACATGACAAATAAGCTGAATTCTGAAGGAAAAAACCACAATGTATAGTACGCAAGTTCCTTATGAAGTAAGCTCTGTGCCTGACAACACATTAAGTTCAAAAACCTGTAAATAAAATTTTGGCACTAACTTCAGAACAGAATAACATGATTTCTGGCCAAGTAAAAAAACTGATACTTTGTTTAAATACTTAGTCTCTAATAAGATAGTGCCTTGCAGATGGAACAAACGGCAAATAGAAAATTTCCGTTTCCTAGAACATGTCATTTTAAGCAGAGATAGCTACTGAGTATTTCCTCATTGTCCTGGTTTTGACCAGGACAGAGTTGGTTTTGCTTTTTAGCAGCTAGGAGAGCTTCATGTTTTGGATTTAGTCTGGGATTTGTTACGAGAAGAACGTTGATAGTGCACTGATGTTTATAGTTGGCACTGAGACCTCAAGGACTTTTCAGCTTCCCACGTTTTGCCAGAGTGCAGGAACACAACAGGCTGGAGGGGAGCATGGCTGGGACAAAACGCCCACAACTCCCCTAATGATTTGAACTTAGATTTAGGACTGATGGCCGAATTGGCCAATTAGTATTCCATATCATGCAGCATCATGCCCAGTATATAGATGAGGGTTGACCAGGAAGAAGGGCTTGTCTTCCAGAGACTCTCTCAGACTCTCAGAGTTCTCTCTCTTGCTCTCTTTTCAGGCCTCTTGCTCATCCAGGATTGCAGTGTGAGGACTTAATCTGTTTTAGCATCACTTGCCAGGACAGGACAGGCGTTGGTCACCGGGTGGTGAGCAATTGCACTGTGCATCACTTGTTTGCATGTACTATTATATATATACATATACACACACACACTTTTACATATATCTTCATATATTATTACTTTATCATTATTACTTTTAATTTATTATTATTAAATTGTTCTTCTCTCAACCCACAAGTCTGCTTCCCTTTTCTCCTTTAATTCTCTTCCCCATTCCGCAGGGGTGGTGTATGGTAAGCGAGTGTCTGCATGGTGTTTAGTTGCCAGCTGGGTTAAACCACAACACTCATTTTCCCTATTTGCCAAACTCTAAAACTCCAGGGCCCTATTTCAAAAGCTTCTGAGTTATCAAACAACTGTCAATATTCAGTAATAATGATGGCCACTAACTCTTGCACAAGACACAATCTTCAGATATACTCATTCCCCAAGTGCAAATTACCTCAGGAAAGAAACATAAATACCTGAGGAAAAGAAGTCCGTAGAGGAAGCCAACAGCTGAGGGCTACAACACCTGCTAATTTCTGTTGCGTTGTAAGAGCTGTATACAATGATAAAGCACCTCCCTAATATAAACAGATATAAGTATTAGAATGGAGATGGTAATGTTCCTTTTAATACTTGTTTCAAAGATCTCCGTTTTCTCCTTTAAAGGTTTTCTTCTATTCCAATCTATTCTTTCTCAGAATCAACACTAAAACCAGTATTCCTGTACAAGATTTATTTTGCTTTTTCCCCACCTCCAAGTCCATGTGATCAATTCAGAAATAAAACAGCAAATTTACCGTAACTAACATCTGGGGGAAAAAAAAAATAAAAAACAACAAAACATGAAAAAACATGAAAAAAGCACTATCACTCATGACAGTAATATCACTACTTTAATATTTACTTGTACACAGACTGGGGAGTTATTGCATGGATCAATTAATCTATTAACCTCCCTACCACACGTCTTACAAGTATGAAGGGAAGAATTTCCCAAATAAATTTAGACCATCAAATATCTACCAAAGTAAAGTGAAATTAAAAATATTACCAAGATTTAAGCAAAGCTACGTAAGTTACATGCATAAAGACTTTAAATAGACTATTAATTCTAGTACTACTTCTCCAAATGCATGTTTATTTTCCAGTGAATAGTTAATTCTTTGCATAAAACTAAAAGACTTTATTTGTTAAGGCAAAGGAAAACTGACAGCTTCAAATTTTAGGAGGGTCTAACATCAGCTCTTTTCAATTTAAGTGTCTAGATAGGAAATTAGGAAAGCTAAGTTACCTCACTAGTAAAAGACACAGTTCTTTCCAAGCACACCTTACCTGAGAAAAGCCTCCCAGAATAATTCGATTAGAAGGAATTCCATTTTTTACTTCTTGATCTATCAGTGCTTTAACTGCAAGATAGATAAAGGCCAGTAGTTAAAACCCACTCTATTCTGTAGAAAGTCTATAAGAGGAAAGATACCTTCTCCCTGATGTCAACAGAAAGCTAGTGAAAGGAAAATCACCTGCTACACATTAAAAAATATCAAAAGATCTAGAGCATGATCAGAAATTCCAGTGCCCCCGTACCATTTCCAAAGAGAAAAACATGCAAGTAAGTCTCACAGAAACCCCACTTCCAGGAAAATGGTATCCTCTTCTAACTATCCAACATCACAAGTGGATGCTTGTACAGCTCTAACCTGTGTGCTACCCAGAAGCTCTTAAAAAAAAAAACCCAAACAAACAAAAAAAGAAGTACACTGGCTCCCACGTACATTTCATACCCAAGAGTATGAAGGGTTTACACTGGTGAACTACTCTACTTACTCATGAAGTTCAAAAAAAACCAAACCACACACACAAAACAAACTATGCACTTGGCTAAACTTTGATCAGCAATAATACAATATATACACAGTACTTTTCCTAACAATTTTGTGTTTAGAAAATCTGTTTCAGACTGATAATTCATTTTTAAGAATACACAGAAGTACTTTAAAGATATAAACAGTATTCCTAAGCATACCATTCTCTGCTGCCTGCTTGATCCCAACTTCATCTTCCTGTGAATCTGGAGAAAGTCCAATGATATCAAACCTTACAAAAAAAACAACAAGAGCATTACTCATTAGAGCATCCATTCCACTTCCTTAAAACACAAATAATAAAATTGGGATATTTTCCAGCTAATCATGTTAGCTGATATATCAGTTACTACCAATCACCCATAGTTCACAAGAACTAGAGAACAATCTGTGAACGTTGCTAAAAGGCTAGATCTAGTCAACAAAGCTTTTGAGTGTTGCTGTCTTCTGTAATTTACTGCAGATTAAGCAGTTCGG